TTCTATGCATAGGAAAAAGGCGGTTATTTTGGAAGATGGAAACTTGTGGTGTTACACAAAAATATGGATAAAAAACAATATCAAGGCATCTAGACTACTGATAGATGGTATACTGATAGACGGTAAGTTCAAAATTTTCTTTTCGTTCTGCATAGCGTTTTTAATAACCTTCTATAGATGTAAATCATATGTATTATGTAAGTTGGCAAAAAATAAAATTTACTGGAGTAATGTGCAGATTAGGATAACGATCGATTCGCCCCATAACGACTCGCCCCATTTTAGTGATGATTCGTCCCCCCTAATGGCACCACCTTAATTAAACATTTTTTTATTCATTTGATTTGGATTGAAAAATATTTATGATACAAGATACAAGTTTTAAAATATGCACGCATGTACATGCATTGTTTATGGGGAAATCTATGTACAGCCCATTTTAAAAACATAAATCTGCATTGTTTCACACTGAGCTCATCTGCACATTTGAATGCGGTGAAAAATGATGTTCCTTTTTATTTTAAGTGACTTCATTTACTTAGTTATCTCGCAGAAAACTGAAAAGAGCAGCCAAGAAAGGACAGAACGTAAAAATCAGCAACTCTGATGAGATGGTAAAAAGCAGATAAACGGGAGATAATAAAATGCAGATGGACGGCTTCTTTGATCGTGAAGAGTTTGCTATTTAAGTTATGGGACGAGGGCATTCCAAGGAAATGACATATATGAGTCTTTGAAGCGTAAGTATATAGGGCTACATATATATTAATCAATTTAAAAACGACAATGTGCTTTTTAAATATTAAGTACTAGTAAATGATAAAAAATAATACTTTTCAATCTGAATTTTGTTCATGTACATATAGTAATTCAATGTCATAGCCTTTCAATTTCGTTTTAAATTTAATTGAAGCAAATGGTAAAAAACTGGACTTGCTACAAAATATTTGTTCATTCCTCTGTTGAAAATGAAATCGAACATTCACCCGTTTGTTTTATCAACAAATAATTATCTATTATCAGACTTTGTGAAATATACTGCTAGTTTTTATTCAATAGAACATGAACAGTCCAAAGTGGTTGAGTCCTTTAGTGTATTTGGCTTGAGTTGAAATTCAAATTCAGATTGTATTGCAAATAGAACAAAAATATATTATACTTTTTTCAGAGTGATATGTCAGAAGTCTAAGTTTAAATTTTAAAATTTTATTTATAAATATGATACTTTTTATGAGAATAAATTTTTTTTTATATTTCAGAGTATGCCATTCATTGCCTCAGTATAGAGATTCAACATTTAATGATTATAGGAATAAAAAAGGTGTAGCCCCAGACAGACATTGAAAAGGAAAGCAAAGATGTTTTAAGACTGACATAAAGCCCTAGTTTCTAAAACTAGAAATATATTCCTAACAGCAAGCACGAATATTTCCAGAATTATTACCCTTTACTTGTTTATCTGACATTACCTGTTTTATTTGCAGGGATATTTATGAAATGAGCTATGCACGTACATTATGAGTTTTCAATGTTATGATGTGGTGGCATAGATTTTTTCACAAATTTTAATCTTGTTGTATGTTCTTGATTAATCTAGTCAGCTTTTGTATGTAAAAAATAAAAGAAAAATAAATAAGATTTATCAAGATATGTTATTATTATTATTTTCATATTTTTCTCCGGAATTGACACCATCATTGGAACCTGCATTTATTCAAAATCCATTAGATGAATATAAGCAGGCAAGCCTGATTTGTTAATGATTCATTAATACATTGAATTTCGGTTTATGGAAGAAGAAAAAATACAATTTATTAGTGATTCATTAACAATTTATTTGCAATTCATTAATGAATCAGTTGGTCAGCGAACCTAATTTATTGCCAATTGATTAACCTGATTTGTTGATAATTCATTGACTAAGTCAAGAAAAGGACCAAATTCATTACCCATTTGTTAACCTGATTTATTAACAATTTATAATAAGTTGGTAAATGGACCCAATTCATTACCAATTCATTTCACTGATTTATTAACAATTTATTCATAATGCATTGGCTCATTTGCATGTCATTTCCATCTATTATAAATTGGGAATAAATGGTAAATTTGTTTATCATTTATTATACTGATTGATTCCTATCTTTTTTTTGTTTGGGCAGTAACAGTTCATTTTAGGTTGATTTATGCCAAGTTAGCTTAATAATACGTCAGTGCCACGGAGTTTCCGACGAGACAATGTGTCTTCCTGTACAAATCTTTTTATTATTATTTAATACTATTTGAAACAAGGGGATCACTTTTGACCCCGTGGGTAAGACATTTCTTCATTAAATTTGTAGAAAATCACTACGTTATCTTCTACCTTTGAATAAATTTCTGCAATAAAATTAGGTTCTTAATAAAGTTTTAAAGTCAATTTTTCGATGTGTCCTACATAATAAATTACATGCTAATTCACATAGCATTATAGATCCCCATTTTACAACGTCACATGCCATGGAGCTAAATTGTATGTATATCTGTTCAAATGCTAAATGGTTTGAAATTTCAAACTGTCCATCATGGTTCTTTAATCAATCTCAAACTGACCTGGGTCTCAAAATAGACCTTTTTAGGACGCGGTCTGTTACTATGAAATATCGACTTGAAGTAGTATTTTCTCGATCAATTTGCGTAGGGCATAAAGAGCATCACCCTACATAGACACGTAGTACAATGTAGTCTTCAACATCAACTTCTCCAAAAATATTGTTCATAAAAAACTAAACACCTGTATAATTTTCAAAATTTAATAGTTTTTTCTCTCATAAAAAAATATTCAAAAACAATACAAACCATAAATTGTCGTCTTAGTGCAGTAAAAGAGTTAAAACTCCTAATTAGAATTTTAATAAGGGTTAACCCGTTACTGTACTAAGGTGACAAAAATGCCTCATCATAAAAAGTTTATGTTGGGATACATGCTCTAATTGTTATATTTCATGTAAACACCTACACCTGTTTCTGATTACAAGCAAATGACTATCTATAAAATATCACAGACAAACAAGCTTTGAACAACAACGTACAGTACTAACCTTTTAAGACAAAAAAAATTAAAGACAAAAAAACCGCAAACATTTTTACCCACTTTTGGTCATAAAATAACATTGTGATTAAAAAAAATATAACCTATTCAACCACAAATCAAGTTTTTTTTTTGGACCAAATATGGTTAATAATTTGGGGTTTTTTGAAACATCATTTCTTTTTCATTGGGAAAAAAGCAAAAACTCAAAAAAAATATGTTTTTTTTAAAAATATCTTTACAACCCGCATTAAAACACTCAAAAATGGGAAAAAGGAAAATTAAGGGAATGGTGGGTTTCAAGTTGGGGGTTTAATTTTTAAACCACCCCCCAAAATACCATTATTTTAAAACCAAAATTTTAAAAATTTTTCCCCAAATTTTATTTTTAAAGGAAAATTTTAATCCCTTTTTAGCATGGGGACAAATGTCCCTGTATTTTAAAACTGGGGAAAAAGTAACTTTCCAGGGTTACAATTTTAACCTACCTATGGTGCAGATTTTTTTTTCCCCTTCAAAATGGCAATTAAAAACCAAAATTTTTTTAAACAATTTTTAATTGAAAAATTTTTGTTTTGGGAACAAAATTTTTAAACCTTCTGCCCAAAGAAGGCCCCCAACTTAAAAACATTTTTGAAATTTGTGTTTAAAAAATTTATGGCCCCTTTTGGAAAATTTAATTTAAACCTTTAAAAGGGGCTTTCCCCTGATTTTTTTTGGGCTGACTGGGCTGGAAAAAATTTTTTTTGATTAATTCCCCTTTGATATGGACCCCCAGTGGGTTCCCCTTTTAAAGGTTTTATGAATTTACATGTCCCGGGGTTCCCAAAATTTTCCCCCGCCTGAAAGGGCCGGGATTGGGGCCCCCAAATTTAAACCTAAATTTCCCACTACATACATTGCCCGAAAAAAATGGGGGGCCCGACATCTGGGGTAAAAAGAAATACATGTTACCCCCTTTTTGTACAAAAGGACTCCTTTTTTTTCAAAAGAAACCCACTAGAAAAAATTTCTGTACTTAAAGTAATTTTAATAATCACTAGAAACCCGTTTTCCAAAAATATCAAGGTAAGTTTAAAACCCCTTTGGGGGGGGGAATTTTAACGTTTTAAAAACAAAAAAATTTCACTTTTGAAAAGAACATAAACAGGGCGAAATTTAAATATCTTTATGTACAAAAAAATAAAAAGGGCTTGCTTCTAAAAAAAAAATTTTTGACAAAAAAGATGTTGACATTCTGATAACATTCAAAACTATTTGCTCATTTCTACATGAATTCTGATAAAGATTTGAGTTGCCTGAAAATGAAATTGTATGACTCATAAAATCAAATTAACACAAATTAACAGCATAAAATATGAGATAATAAAATTTACAGCAAGTACCAATTCAGCCATTTTCTTGTGTCATATTTGAAGACATTGACAAAAACATGAACCCAAAAATTGATAGAAAAAAATCTGTATCTACCAAAACATGTCTAAGAACTGTGAAAAAAAACCTGCGAAAAACTAATGAAATTATCAACGCAATCAATGACCCATAAAATGAATGTGTCAAAAAGTTTGATAGATCAATAAAAAACTGTTGTTAAATCAATAATTTAACAGATTTTAGATTGATCAAAAATACTCTTATTTTCTGACCTTTTACATGTATTTGTAAAACAATAGATTTAACCACAAACATTGACACAGGTTCTTTTATTAACAGATAGTTTGAGGTGAAACTCTTATTGTAATGCAGTCATTGAATTTAAGATTTTGAATTTACTGGCCTGAATTCCATTTTTAAATTTATTCTACTATATATTTAACTAAATTTTATTAAAGTTTACACTGGTCATGGGCCACCATGCTAGTGCTACATTTGATGACTGGTAATTCACTAACCTGATAACTTGAATAAGAAATGTTAGGGTCATATAGGGACCTATCCATTGTCTTACATGTTAAACAATTTCTGTATCAAAGAAAATACATAATTATGACTGTAATTTATTAATTTCTAATATACATATTACCCTTACAAGATGCATAAAAATTATGTTAAAAAAATAAGTTTATATATTCATTTCAATGAACTATAACAGCACTTACTTTTATGTCTTTGTTTATTTTTAACCAAGATGACTATGCATGCACAACTGATGTTTAATTTTAAGAAATTTATATATTAATGTTCTATTTCGTGTTTTTCAGAGTACACTCAGGGTTTTCATAAATAACAAATTGGCGATCTATATTATTGGTTAAAATGCTGTTAAAATTGCTTGTATTTTCAGCCTAAAGATTAAAAATATCCCCCCTTGACCCTCAGACAAATGTGTTGTTTTTGTAAAAAAAAACGATACTAGTTATGTAACTGATACTCCCTATAACTAAGTGAACCCTGGTGTAGATTTTCACTCAAACTATAAATGTTCAGTTCAGTTGTTGCACTTGTATGCAGATACACGATGAAAATATCAATATTCATATGCAGTTATAATTCAAGAATGCATAACTCTGACATAATGTCAGCAACATTAACGCGAGTTTTCTTCTTGATCTTTGTACATTTTTCTGATATTTCAACTAACTTTGCGACAGTGTCGTCTGGCCACATTCCACCACTTGTATCCAGCAAGTCTTTAATATTGTTCTCCTCTACGTGACTTTTCAAATCTTTATCTTCTCTATTATGATCAAGGGGAGGTAATGCAGTGAGAACTTCTAAGATAACAATGCCAAAACTGAATGAATCAAGTTTTGTAGAGACGTCAAAATTCAAAGCTTCCGGAGCAAGATAGGCCGATGTTCCGATCACAACTTGAGTCGACATTAACGTTGTTGTGTTTCCCCTTGGACCGGATCTGGCAGTGGCAAAGTCCCCTACTTTCGGTTCAAAATTTTCACCTAAGAGGACATTTGCACTCTTTATATCTCTATGAACTGTTCCTTGACTATTGAGAAATTGTATACCTGCTGCTGTTCCCTGTAAAATCGACAGCCGCACTTTGTTTGGAAGTGGGGGTGTATTGTCCTTCCTTTGTAAACGGTCCTCCAACGATCCATTACAGAGGTATTCATACACCAAACATTTACCAGGTCCGTCCACTGAATATCCATACAGACGAACAATGTTCTTATGTCTGTACTTTATGAGTGAATTCAGTTCCGTTTCAAACTGTTTGTCTACTTCTTCGACATTTTTCAAGCGTTTAACAGCCACTTGAAACCCATTTTCAAACCTTCCCAGGAAAACATCGCCAAAACCCCCTGAACCAATCACTCTCCCACCCAGAGTAACAAGCTTCGGGTTGAAATCATCAGTAATGGTTCTTAAAAGGACATAGGTTATTTTTTGTTTAGCAATAATCTTGTATAACTCCTCCTCCTCGGTACTGCTCCTGTCGGAACTCTCATTCTGACTGTCGCTGCTACGGACGTCAACTTCGGAATCATCAACAGTTTCACAAGGCTGACGTCTGTTTGAAGCTGCTGGGATCACTTCTGGTTTGAAGACTGGTCTCTCAGGAACCTCCTTGGCAAAATTATATTTCAATTCATCAGAAAAGGCATTTTGAAAACGGGTTTTCCCTTTGGACTGTTTTCCCGCGGTTTTCTCTTTTACGGGCAACCTAAATTTCCAAAAAAAATTTAAAATCCAAAAATTTCAAAAAATCAATTCAAAATTTTGGGAATTTTCACCAAAATTTTATACATGTATTAAAAAATCAAAAAACACTAAAAATTTTTTAAAAAGGAAAAAATTTTATTTCTGGTTTTCTTTCTGGTTTTCTTACGAAAAAAAAAACAACCCATATATACACTGTAGTAAACATAATAAACACTCCTACCCCTTTATATTTCATATTATTATATTTTAATTATTTCACTTTGTGTGTCACATTTCTTTCCAAAATAAGGTCAACACTAATATTATAAACAAAACAATATTCAGCCTTTATTATTCAGTCAACTGTTTAAATAGAAATGTGAACCCATGACAGCCTGAACAAGGGTAAATCTATATGCCACCCTCCATCGAAGTGTGGTCATAAAAAGATATTTATCTTAGCTTAGTTTATATGAATTTATTTAGTTTGTGTTAGAAGCTATAAGCTTATTTAAACACTCCTGATTCTGTTCCTGGAACCAGCCAGTACTACAGCCAGTACTAACCAATGAATGTAGTTTCTTGCTCAAAGAAACAACGGTTTGCCCATGATAGGGTTTGAACCCAAGTAGACAGCAATCCTTAGTATGCTAGTCCAACGCATTCACCACTCTGCCATGCTAACATTCACAAATCTTTCAAAATATTTGAATGAGCACTCTTGAACCCACCAAGTATATATATTATGTGACTTTAACATGGTCATGACCTCAGTGAGACTCATACCCAGGATCCATAAAATAACAGACAGAAATCTTAATCATTTAGCCATAGCCCCCATTTAACCTTCAATCTACTGAGTCTGTTTAATGGATCAATCCAGATTTTACTTTAGAACAGTCCGTTCAAAGTGTAGGGGTTTTCTATTTTGTTCAGCTCTATCAAAATAGAAGGGGAATATTTTGTTCAGGAATGTTTTATTCTGATTTGTGTACAACATTATTTATGTGTGTTAAATAACAGAGAAGTACTCTATAACAAGTTTTTTTCTAGAAAAATTATGAAGCTTACTATGAAAATTAAGTAGTTTTACTGTTTTTTTTTAAATTTTTTTTTTTTACAAAATTTTCATCAGATATAACATTATACCTTTTAACATTAGCATATTTGTTTAAGCAATTACATGTGTTTGGTACATGTTTCCATCATTTGTTATGAAATATTTATATATAATATATATATATTTCTGTCATTTTATGTACGAGGGATGATCAAAAATAAACTGGACTGTGACTGTCAATTGCAGAATTTTCAACCTATCAATTATTGTTATCACACTTAATCGGAAAACAATACCTCTAAATTGATGCTTTACCTAATCTGATAACGCAAAAAGCTTGTCCGTAACAGGGAATTCAAATAGTATGGTAACGCACACCCGGTGCAGTGCGTTAATTCCCCGTACTTCAGGCGCATTAAGCCTTGTATATTTAACAATATGGCACATTAAGATTTCAAAATAAGCCAAAACGTCATGAACCATATCTTTGACGTTGTCAGTAAAAATGACTTCATTTAAACCATATTTATATTTGCAATCACAATTCAAACATCACATGCTAATGAAATACTCCCGTTAAAACAATGTCGTCGGAATGTCTCGAAAATTGATCAATAAGAAAAAATTGTCAAAAGTAAGACAAGAAACTGTTTAAAACGTAGAACAAGGGTGCCATAGTCACAAAATACGCCCGTTTACGAAAAAGCTTTAGATGGAGATGGGGGCATTATGGATAAGTGTTATCTAGCAAGCAAGTTTTTATTCTTGGCACTGTGTTGTTAAATGAACCTTAAAACAAATCAATAGGGAAGATATGCACAGAATGTGTGACCTTGACCTTGGTCGCAGGGACCTGAATTTTATGCACGGCACTCAGCCTCACAATGATGAACATTTGTGCCAAATTATATTGAAATATCTCTATGCATGTAGAAGTTTTGCTCCAGACAAGTGTTTTTCTATGAGCTCTAACTGTGACCTTCACCTTTGACCTAGAGACTTGGTTTATGTGCAGGGCACTACGTCTCATGGTGGTGAACAATTCTATAAAAGTAACATTAAAATTCCTCCATGCATGTAGAAAATATGCTCCGGACAACATCTGGATATTTAATCATCTCCAGTGACCTTGACCTTGCAAATATTAACCTAAATTAAATGTGTAACACCTGTAGTCATGATAGTTACCATTTGTGCTACAATCCATCAATAAATGATGACTAAATGGTCCCTATAACCATCTTCAAATTTTTATCTGAACTTTGACCTCTATGTGTAACCTTGACTTTGGTCGCAGGGATCTGAATTTTGCATGCGACACTCAGCCTCACAATGGTGAACATTTGTGCCAAGTTATATTGAAAACCCCCTATGAATGTAGAAGTTTTGCTCCGGACAAGTGTTTTTCAATGAGCTCTAAGTGTGACCTTGACCTTTGACCTGGAGACCTGGATCATGCATGGAGCAATACATATCATGGTGGTGAACATTTCCATAAAGTATTAAAAAAATTCTTCCATACATGTAGGAGATATGCTTCAGACAAAATCTGGATATTTCACCATCTTTAGTGACCTTGACCTTGCATATATTGACCTAAAGTACATGTGTCACATCCGTAGTCATTATAATGACCATTTGTGTTACAATCCCTCAATAAATGATGATTAAATCGTCCCTATACACATCTTCATATTTTTATCTTTTTTTAAACGGGCGTATAAAAAGTACATGTAATTTAATAACTAAAAAATTCTGATTTAAGATTTTATTCTAGGGAAATACATTTCATTACAATTCTTAATCTTTGAATGAGCTGAACTGATATTTACTTGAAAATCAAAATATAATTAAATTTCTATGAGAAAGTATTTACATTTGATAAGGTAATTACTGTATGATCTTTATGAACAAATACCAAGTCTACAGAACACCATAGTTATCACAGTTAAGAATCTTGACCAATGAATGAAACATGTGTAAATAAATGTTACATTCTTTAGAACATACTCAAGTCCAAGAAAGAGGATTATTTCATGCCCTTTGATTAAATTCTATTTTTAGAATTGAAAGTGAAAATAGATCAAGGGGAGTAATTGTGTATGTCATTTATGAACAAAGTAATAACTTTGTTGTCTCCCTTTGATTAAATTCTATTTACAAAATCTGGATATTTCATCATCTTTAGTGACCTTGACCTTGTATATATTGACCTAAATTATATGTATCACAGCCATAGTCCTCAAAATGACCATTTGTGTTACAATCCCTCAATAAATGATGACTAAATGGTCCATATACACATCTTCATATTTTTATCTGAACTTTGACCTCTATGTGTGACCTTGACCTTGGCCGCAAGGACCTGAATCTTGCACGCGACACTCCCCCTCACAATGGTGAACATTTGTGCCAAGTAATATTGAAATCCCTCTATACATGTGGAAGTTTTGCTCCGGACAAGCATTTTTCAATGAGCTCTAAGTGTGACCTTGACCTTTGACCTAGAGACCTGGTTCATGTGCGTGACACTGCTCCTCATAGTGGTGAACATTTATATGAAGTTTCATTAAAATCCCTCCATACATGTAGGAGATATGCTCCGGACAAAATTGGACGCCGCCCGCCCGCCCGCCAGGGGCGTTCCCATAATACGTCCCGTTTTTCAAACGGGCGTATAAAAAGAAAATATGGGTATTAACGGAAAAGATCCAGAAAGCCACAGCATATTTTTTATTAGCATAAAGAATTAAGAAAGGGTAATAGAGAAATAGAAAAGAAGTATGGGAGAGACAGAAAAGATAAATTTTTTAGCTTAAGGATGTTGGTGACGTCAATCGCAAAGAAATGACAGCCGAATGACTGCGGACATTGTCAACGATGTTTGACAGTAGCTACAGGACGGTGCAGTCAACGCTGAGGATTTTAAAATGATAAAAGTTAATGCATTAATTATATATATTGTATTCTTGGTTGTCATTTTCTTATTTTACGCAGTAGTTTTATAGAGAAAGTGTGTCAGCAATTAGACAGTCACTGTTCAAAATCGTCTATGCGTTTTATTTATTTTAAAATAATGACAATTTTGTTCATAGTTGTATTATTTTTTTTTATCTTATGTATCATACATTATCATTCAGCAACATTATTTTACATTATTTGTAATATACATAATATAGTTTAAGGCATGTGCGATTTTTCCAACAATCAAGTTACAGAAGGAAAGAACGCAAGTTTGCGTCATTACAGGAGCTTTTTATCATCATCCATTATTTTACAGTACAATATAATACCCACTTGTACAGAAATATATATAGGCAGTGGATCCGCCGCATTAACAACATGACTGTTCCACGTATTTGCCTACTCTGTGAATGAGTAAAAGGAAAATACCCTTGTGACGTCATTAACGTCAATTTTAAAATTATACCGTGTGCCGCATTGCTTTACATGTACATGCCAATAACAGCATAACTTTTTTCTTTGTTAATATTTCTTGTCGGTATTTTTTGTATCATTCAGGGGATAGATTCCGATTTATTGTCCGTGTATTTTTATGTAAATTTATTTAACAGGTAAAGAATCATTTACAAAGTAAGGTTAATTTTTGATCATCCCTCGTATTCTGTAGCTATTTTTAAATCATATTAAAGCAGCACGCCTCCAGATTAATGCTTATTTTCATGAAAATTTTGAAAAGGAAATTAAATGTATATTATTGTATAGTAACCAAAAGGAATCATTTTACACATTATCAATGGCACTTACAATCCAATTTTTTACAAAGAGAGGTCAAAATATGCGAAAAATGCCCTTACTGCGTTAGTAACACAGTAGAAATATAGTTACATATAATGAAAAATTCACAAATAATAGCTCATAACATGTAAATTATTACTTAAATCTTTCTACTTTGCCTAAAATCTTATTATTTTTGCCTAAAATCTTATTACATTTTTCATAAGTTTGATTTATTAAAATATTTTCGCTCATCTGGAGGCATGCTGCTTTAACAATATTTTTGCAATCCAAAGACATCAAGTACAAAGTTTTATACAGTTTAAACTCTTCACAATGCTCCTGTAGAAAATCACATAAGGTAATCATCTAGGCTTCAGTGTGGACAACAAACAGTGATCAGTACTATGACTCGCTCTAAAATTACATCCTAATTTATTGGCAATGCACTGTCATATATGACCCTTCATATTGGTGTTAAGTTCCAAGTAAGTTCTTTTAACTGTGAACAAGATAATTATTAAGTCACATGCAAATCCTGACCAATATATGCCTATGCAGACACACAATTGAATAAGGTATAAGGTATTATGCTTTTGCATTGTTGAGCTAATGAGCTAAAAATAACACCTACAGGCAAGATGTGTCCATAGGACACGGGTGCCCCCACCGCGCCACTGTTCTGTCAATCTTATGACTGTAGGTCAAATATTTTTTGAAAACTAAAAATCTTTTACTAAGTAAAGGGCAAGAACTTTACATTAATCCAAAAGCAAACCCCAAGGTGCATAAGTACACATGCTGACCAACATTCTTGTAAACTTTCAGGCCTACAAGTGAAATACTTTTTGAGCTATGCATGAACAAGTTGAAAATTGCAAATTTATACTACTGTAAGTCAAGGGCAATAACTCTAACAAAACTGAAAAAAATCCACATGCAAAGTCCCAGGTGCATAGCTTCACAGTGATGTGAATCATTATTCCTGTAATTTAGTGATGTTGATCATTATTCCTGTAAAATTGGTTGATTCTAACTCAAGCACACATTAGGAACAAATAACAACATAATGAAACGGTTTTTACTAAGTCAAGGGAAATAACTCTACAAATACTGGATAAATCCTTAAGGGAAATCCCAGGTGCAAAACTAAATATGCTGAGCAACCTTCCAGTAAGGTTAAATGACTATGTCAAATCCTTTTTGAGTTACATGCGCACAAGTTGAAAATTGCAAAATTTTACTAAGTCAATGGAAATAACTAAAAAAATATTAATCCAGACGAAAATACCCAGGTGCACAACTACACATGCTGATCAACATTCCTGTAAAGTTTTATGACTCTAGGTCAAATACTTTTTGAGTTACATGTACATGCGACACAAGTTGAAAATTGCAAAATTTTACAAAGTCAAGGGCAATTACTCTAAAAATACTAAAAATATCCAGACGAAAATACCTAGGTGCACAACTACACATGCTGATCAACATTCCTGTAAAGTTATATGACTGTAGGTCAAATACTTTTTGAGTTACATGCGACACAAGTTGAAAATTGCAAAATTTTACTAAGTCAAGGGCAATAACTCTAAAAATACTAAAAATATCCAGACGAAAATACCCAGGTGCACAACTACACATGCTGATCAACATGCCTGTAAAGTTTCATGACTCTAGGTCAAATACTTTTTGAGTTACATGCGACACAAGTTGAAAATTGCAAAATTTTACTAAGTCAAGGGCAATAACTCTAAAACTACTAAAAATATCCAGACTGCACAACTACACATGCTGATCAACATTCCTGTAAAGTTTCATGACTCTAGGTCAAATACTTTTTGAGTTACGTGCGACACAAAAGAGAACGGACAGACAAGGGTAAATCTAAATGCCGCAACTAAAGTGGGGGCACAAAAATATACCATCAAAGGCGGCGGAGCAATTATTATCAGGGACATCATACCTGAACTGTTTCTTCTTCATGCTCGACCCCTCCTTCACGATGTTGCCCCTGGTTCCCATCTTTAAGCACTTCAGAAAGGTGACCACCACTGTCATAGGATGGTGCCCGGTAATATAAGACCTTATCTATACCTGGAGACAATTTATTATATGCCGAATCATCCTCACCTGCCCTCATTAAACTGTCAAACAGAAAACAGCAAATATATGCCTTCAGGTACATGTAATTGTCAAAGAAAAAAACAAAATATATGCCCTCAGGTACATGTAATTGTCAAAGAAAAAAACAAAATATATGCCCTCAGGTACATGTAATTGTCAAAGAAAAATAACCAAAATATATGCCCTCATGTAAATGTAAATGACCTTTTCGAAAACCTAGCTAAACACCGTTTTCCGGTATGTTACGGAATTAGCTCTGGGGAATTACACCAAAAGATATACATGAAATTTCTATTTTTCTATCATTATTTTACCATTTAAGGTGAAAAAAAATGATGTGTTTGAATATTATCAATACTCCTATAACATCTATTGCAAATTTTTCAAAAAAAATTTTGTTTAGAATGAAAATCAATAAATTTAAAACAGTCGTAGTGACATCTTCAATAATAAATAGATATTTTTTGTGTAAATTTGTGTTTTTACTTTATTTTTGCTTGGAATTATTCATACAATTATATTTAATTATTTTCTTAATAAGAAATAATTGTTTTATTTCACTTTAATTCAAAAAAGGCCAAAGACATTCTAGTTCATTATTACACTCCATAAGGTAAATTCCCCAGAGCTATGTACAGAAAGTATGAGAAAACTGTGTTTAAGATTTAAGTTAATAGTTTAAATAGTTTAAGATATCTGATTTTGACCATAAAAATGCTTTTTGATTTACAACAGAAATGATTAACAAGAGCTGTCGTTAGGACAGCAATGCTCGACTATTCTTAGTGCTTGATAGTAAAAAAGCATTGATAATGTAAAATTTTCTAAGTAAACAAAACGGCAAATTTTTTCTTTAAATCCATATTACAGTTATAGGCCTCAAAGACAGTCCTATTATGCTCTCAAAAAAGAGTATAACATTTCAACTTGTTTCAAAGTCATATGTCAATTGACTTTGAAAATATTTGAGGTATTACAAAATCTTTAACAAAAATTTTAAGTAGAAAAGGGGCATAAATCTGTCAAAATGCTTGATACAGTTACCTCCTCCTGTCTACATGTTGGGGTCATGATGGTGAACAAGTGTGCAAAGTTTCAAAGCCATATGTCAATGGACTTTGAAACTATTTGAGGTATTACAAAAACTTTAACATAAGTAACATAAGTGGTTACGCAAACGCTCGGGTCTTATCGAATAGTCGAGCTAAAAATAATAAAATCTGTCATTTATGACTTAAAATACAGCATTTTACAACTTTGTAAGGGAATCGATCCTTTGGCTTAGTGGTCTTGAGCATAATAATTAATACTTTCACTTGTAAGCATGAGGCTGTGAGTTTGAATCCCGGTCATAAAGCGATTCTTTCAATTTTTATTTGCATCCTTTTGTTACCAACAATAGAAATGTTTGTAAGATTTAACTGTACCTGTTATATGTGGAGTCAGGTGGACTAGTGACACCTAATGGGTATGCATTTCCAAGTGCTTTCTCCTTTTCATAGATAACCTTTTGATCATTTTTAGAGTCCAAATTTTGTTCCTTTTTCAAGTCTTGTTTGTTTTCTTCAACCTTGAGTTTCTTATCATTCCATGTTGGTGCTGGCAGGGAGGCAGTGTCATCCGATTCTTCATGAAGTCTTTGAACCTGTGATACACATAATGTCTGTGATAAACATGACCAACTTAGATAAACATTCAGAACTGTGATAAACAAACAAAATTGTAAAAATCATAAACAAAGGCATTGAAACAAACTGCTGTCCAAATAGTAATTATAATTAGTAACAAATTATCTATATTTAGTAACATCTGACAGAAAGTGTACCATCAAACGCATTGAAACAAACTGCTGTCCAAAACGTAACTATAGTTAGTAACAAATTTTCTATATTTCGTAACATCTGACAAAAAGTGTACCATCTTTTTTTATACCTTAGCTGTATGAATTGTTATGTTAAAATAGATAACCTGAAGAAGGGTATATAGTACCTGAAACTGTTAGTTATAATAAATGAGTCGCGTCATGACAAAACCAACATAATGGGTTTGCAACCAGCATGGATCTAGACCAGCCTGGGCATCCACGCAGTCTGATCAGGATCCATGCTGTTCGCTTAAAGACCCTATAACAAGTAAAGAAACTGATAGCGAACAGCATGGATCCTGATCAGACTGCGCGGATGTGCAGGCTGGTCTGGATCCATGCTGGTCGCAAACCCATTATGTTGGCTTTGTCATAGCACGGCTCAAATATAGAAACAGACCTGGTGTTTTGATGTGTTGTTCTCCCCTCCCAATCTTTTAATTTATTGTTCAAACTGCTGGTTGTACAGTTTTTTATATATTTTAAATGTTTATAGTATTTTTTTTACTTAAGTTATAGTTTAATATAATAGCTTTACACCCTTAAATATCAGATTAATTATATCAAAGAGCAGATATTATACATGATAGTGCTGCAGAAGTTGTCTTATTAATGCTATTTACATTTATATAATTGAGACCACACAATGTTTTTTCACTTATCTTAAGATTATCAAAAACTCCCTGATCAATATTACACAACTTAATCATTGTTTATTATAATTTATACCTTTCCTTGGTGAAGGACATTGACAGATATATAATCAGCTGCCTCATACAGGGATGCTTCTTGTAGAATTCTAATCAAATGTTTCACCTTTGTGTTCTGTGTCCCCCAATCATCTGTAAACAAATTATGCAATTATGAATACATAAAGTAGGTTAGTTTTATTGATATAAATGGAAACAAGTATGAAAACAATACACCAATAAATAAAAAAGTTATGATCCAATTACAAGTTTGCGGACGGCAACGGCTACAGCAACGCCGCCGTGACTATAACAATACCTCTACTATAAAAAAAAAAAAAAAAGTCAAGCTAAAAATGTCATCTATAAAATTTATATTATGCGAGCCTCTTCAACAAGTTCAATAAATTCACTAATGAACTCACACAAATTTAATATTCTATTTATCATATACCAAAAATAAAGACCGTTGAAAATGAATAAGAGTCATTTTTCATTGACATGCATACAGTTTAACGCTAACATTTAGCGTGTCAGACTGTCTTTACACTATGTTTGTATAAAGCAAATGACATCACGTCAAAATAAATTATATGCACGGCTGTGTGATACCATTTTTACAGAGTCACAAAATCGGCACAGGTATACCGTATGTGATAATGATGCTTAATGATATCATGAAAGTCAAACAGGGTGAAGATATGTGCAAACTGACAGGGACTCAAACCCGCATCATGGCTGAGCTATCCGGATGCTTTTACTGTGACATACACAGACTTACAAACCTACTGAACCATTTGACCACTTACACATCTTCTCTTACAAGTAAGCATTTTATTACCATGACAATTGACCTTTTCGAAAACCTAGCTAAACTCTGTTTTCAGGTACGTTACGGATTTAGCTCTGGGGAATTACACATGATGAAGTACATAACACTCTAACATGATATTTCTGTTTTTCTATCTTTATTTTACCGTTTAAGGTGGAAAAACTTGATGTATTTGAAAATTATCAATGTTCCTTTAATATCTATTGCAAATTTTTCAAAAAATAAATTGTTTATAATGAAAATCAATAAAATCTAAATAGACGTAGTGGAATCTTCCGTAATAAATAAGGTTATTTTCTGCGTAAACTTGTGTATTTACTTTATTTTTTGTATGGAATTATTCATACAATGATATTTAATTATTTTCTTATTAAGAAATAATTGTTTTATTTCAATTTAATTTAAATCAAGGCCAAAAACATCGAGTTCGCTATTACACTCCATGGCATCCATTAGGTGAATTCCCCAGAGCTATGTACAGAAGGTACCGGAAAACGGCGTTTAGCCAGGTTTTCGAATTCGTGAATATATTCCTTGTTCTTGTTGTTTTATATCTAGTCCAAATAATTGTACTGCGCGACAAGATACTGTGCTATTTTAGTGTCAGGGCTATATCTCGCCTCTACGACGTAAAAGCGAGATCATGAAGGTCACATGGAAACTTTTAAGCTTTGCCTTTGAATAAAAACTTTGGCTACCCCTTGCATTCAATACTTTCAAATTAAGGTAAGCCAGTAGTTCTTATCTTACATCCCTATGTGAAAGGTTCCTTTCCGTTTCGAACCAGTCAGCAAAAGTGAGTTCGAAATTATTTGGGTACGAATTACAATATCGGTGAAATTGGATAAAAAATTAAACATTCCAGCCTCACCCATAATTGTTTTCGTAGGACTACCATCCGGTCTCCTGCCTTTATCTTCAAACAATCTGACCTGTAGGTAAGAATATCGCATGTCGTTTGTTTCTTTACCCACATCTTGTAACCGTTTCGGAATTTGTAGAACAAACTTCTCCCACTGTCTGTCAACATCTAGAAGTAAACTTATATACTTAACAACAGAGTAAGGCAGCTGCCTTATATATGTTTCTCCCGTTACTACTTTCGAGTTTCCACCTGTCATTGTTAAATGATTATAAAACTAAACTTTCAAATATTTTGTTCACGCTTTCATCTTAACTAATAAACACGGAAGTGGGAAAAACCCACATGACGTCACAGACTTTTAGCCAATAAAATGAAAGGGTAAGATTTTTGAACAATATTTCATCTTTAATTTGTAGATGAAGGGAATGGACATTTTTGTCACTGATAAAAATATAAATTAAAAACTTTATCTTCTTAATTTATCTTAAAGTAATAAAAACAGCGAAGACTTAAATGTTTTACGAATATGACTTTAATATAAATCCAATTACACTATAAGTCAGGATGGCCGAGCGGTCTAAGGCGCTGCGTTCAGGTCGCAGTCTGGTTCTCCAGGCGTGGGTTCGAATCCCACTTCTGACAAAGTTTTTTTCCTAGGTAATGAGTAAAAGTTTTATAATTTGAACTTATGAAAATCACTGCACGGGGGAATTACTCTATGTTTATATATAACGTAAATAAATTACTCTATGTTTATATATAACGCGTCAAATTGTTATATAATTTTATTACCCCTCACTTTTTTCGTAATGCTAATTTCCCATAGGCCTCTGGGAGTTATTTTTACTGTTAATGCAGGTGTACCACGTGACTAAGAATTTTGTACTGTTACATAGGTAACAGTATTTTTTAAGAGGTCACGTGGTCTATATCCTAAATAAAATAAAATAAAATGGCCGCCATTTTTTTCTCGATTCATTCTTATTTTCAAGTTTAAACCCCAATAGGACATCAGTTTGAACAGTTTGAACAGTTTATTTGAAAATGCTGGGCCTCATATATAGAGGCATCAGTCACATATACAATAATATATACATATATTATGACATATAAAGAGATATCCACGAAATATGCTGATGTATTACATGGCAAATATAAATCAAAAATGAAAGTGTTACATTATGAAAATAAGCTTAGTTATCAGTTACTTAAATGCTGAAATAATTTTTTTACAGAATACTGCAAGTTTTAACAATATACTCCTATCTGTGCTATTCATTAACATAGAAAACTTGATTGAATTAACATTAGTACTATACTCTCTAGTAATATATTTTTTTCTATCAGTATTAAAGAATTGACAATTAAATAAATAATGATATTCATCTCCCAAGTGAGCTAGTATTGCACAAGTTACACTTAATTCAATTTTCTTGGTATATTACAAAATCTACCAGACTCAATAGGCATTTTATGGTTCATACATCTAAAGCGCAATAGTACCAAAGCTAAATGAGATGGTAAAATATCTAAAAACATTTCAAAATCTGAATTCACTTTTGTACATTCTATAATTCAGACATTTACTCGATTGTGACATTTCACTATGCCAATTTTGAATGAACTGATCTTTCAGTCTATTTTTAACAATTTTCTTAAACAATGGAAGAGAAGTGGCAACATTATTAATCCAAAAATTTGATAAACCCAGTGAATCTAGTAATTTACAAACACTATTCATCCATGGGAGTTTCAACACATTTCTACAATACAAAGAGTGTGACATATCATACAATATATGGCTTATTGATTCCTGTTTGCTACTTAAAATCTTATTCCAAAAGCACAAAACTCTACTTTTTATATGAATAGATAAAGGTAATATCCCTAAATCTCCATAAAGCATACAATTTGGAGTACTTTGTTTCAAATTTAATATGAGTTTATAAAATTTTAATTGAAATCTATCAATGATATTCACATTTTCAATTCCCCACACTTCGCTACCATATAACAATATAGGTGCTACCATGCTATCAAATAAATGAATTTGCATACTGATAGGCAAATCCAATTTTCTAGCCTTAACTATAATTGAAAACATAGCCTCACATCAATTTCTCCACTTAAGTCCCTATGACACTCATAAAATTTAGTTGTTTGCACCCTGGTGTGCTTTTCGCGTATAAAATATCTTTTTGCTGAATAGTCAAAAAGTGAACATCCGTTTTCAACGGAAGTAATTGCAATGTAAATAATTATGTGTCAAACTGGAACATGCAGACGATTTAAGCATGCAACAAAGGATTATTTAACAAATTTAATCAGTGAAACGTTACAGATATGGTGGACAGACATAGGATATCATCGTTATTTTGTCAAAAACCATGCTAAGAATATTCTGGAAACAGAAGGGTCAGATTTCACAGATCATAACCGTGTAGCCTGGAACCCCGTTGTATCGATCTATTTACCCATAAATCACAACTGCATTTAAAAAATTCAAATCTCCCTGAATATTTATTTTGTATCATTTATTTTGATCCTTTTGCTATAATATTTACATGGCAAACATCACTGATATATACTTTTTAGCTTTGGAATATACGAATATTTACAGACATGTCAAACAGGTTGAAGATTAAGGTCACGCCATTATATCGATGCATTGTGAGAATCGCTCAGTTAGCCAAAGTTTGGGAAGCCTTAACCATCTTTATGTTAGCTATTTCAGTCAATTTGAAACATATATGTCTGTTTTAAAATGTCAGCATAAACTTAGGAACTATTAACAGACAGTAAATGTACTTTTAATAAGAACACATTATTTATAAGTCTATTTATTATCTACAAAGTATGACGGTACTGGAAACATGCTTTTGATCATTTTACTGCACAAAAATAAATGCGAAAGATTTTCGTGACACTGTTGTAAATGTTAACAACCAGTAGGTGACGTATTTTGCAAAAAATCTAAAGATTTGTAAATAGATCGATACAATGAATAGCACGATACAATGGGGTTCCACTATAAATGGGTTAGTGTTTTGTTTTCTAAACAGAAACCTAGCTTATTGTATGTTTATGATTTGTAGATATCATCACTTGCTTAAAGAATAAAAGAAAAAGAAAACTTCTCAAGTAGGCCTACAGTAAAGTACACTTAAAACTTAAAAGGTAAGGACAGTTTAGTTATTGTTACTCTTGGTTTATTTTTGTTACAGTTAGATTTAGTTGACAATTTCAGATCATCTCAGTATTTTTGTTCGGGGTAATAAAATAAATAACACATGGGTTTGTGAGTAACAGTAAAAATATCATCCCTCGTAAAAATACTGTTACCCTCGGCTACGCCTCGGGTAACAGTATTTTCCTCGGGATGATATTTTTACTGTTACCCACAAACCCATGTGTTATTTATATAATAGTATAGTTAGTGTAAAAATGTTTCTTAATAAATGGTTTTATCACAATTAAAGTACGGCACATGAGGCTATCGCATGAGTGTAGATTTAATACTAAATTTATTGTTCAAACGAGTATAATATTGTTTTATTCAACAAGTTCAATAAATTAAGTATTGAATACACTTACAAAAAACATACACAAGAAGATAATATCTATTTAATAAGAACGGGAGTCATTTTTCTTCGAGTCACGCTAACATTAGCGTGACATTTAATACGATCATCTGATCATTGGCTAATTCGAAAACATATGGTAAGAAACCACATATGCTGTTCTTCCATTTTTTGTAAACATTGCTTTTAAATTGCATGCTCGGTAAAAACAAGTAATTTTACAGGGGGTGGGGTACAAATTTAAGCAATAGCCAAAAAAAATCTACAGTACATAGTGTACACTTTGTAATATGTTGTATGTGTAGTGGCAGTGTTTCCATGGTTTCTGTAGCCTGTATATGTGCAGGTATTTTTTTACCAGAGGGACGTATGAAATGCTTTGTTCTTGGTTTAGGACCACAGCAGATTTTGGGCTTCAACGGTTGCACATGTGATAATTTTGAATAGATTTGCAATGGTATGACATATAATTATGTTCTCGACAGGTTGTGTACTTTGGGATCAGAATTATCAGACATATTGCTTGTTCGTAGGACATTGACGGCAGGAACTTGCAATGTAAATGATCCAGCTAGCTTATGGAACGTCGGTGGTTCTACTCAGATGCCCGTTCATGCTTGAAATAATGCACAGTGGTCTTCATCCACCAGTCAAGCTGGGATATCGCCATGCGACCCTTTCTGTGTTGGTGCCGCTTAAAACCTGACAAAAAATAATAAATGCATGTACATAATAACAAATAATGGTTAGTACATGACACACTCAGTTTTAAGTTTTAGCTTCCCAGATCTATAATGATTTAACGATATATATCTGATAGTTACTATTAAATATCATTGTACAACCTTTCTGTAGTTTTTTTTTATTTTGAGTAAAAGTAATAAAAATAAGTTTTCACATATAGATTTCAGATAGTTATCATGCACTATTTCAATTGATAATCAAAATTCTTACATTGAATTACAAATTGACAATAGATTTAACTTTTAGCAATAACCTCTGCGTATATGTAAGTGTTAGTTAAGTGATATTTTAACAATTGAGAGACAGGTTTATTTAATTAAAATCTTAACAGACAAAGCAATTCATTCTAGATAATCAGAATAAGACGAAACATATTGCTTTCTCTGTCGGGTACGGACACCGTGCATGCCATGTGTCAAGCCCTTTTTAAGACACATAGTACTTAGTGATTAGATACCTAGCTTCATGCACTTCCCACGGAGTATGAGCTGAAGTTTAAGATAGACTGCCGAAAATAGGCCATTGTACATACAGCACATTGTACAGTAGGTCAATGAACACCTAAATATACATTAACTAGAGACACGATTTAAAGGAGGTAGCCCCGATAAGGACTGTTGGTGCCAATTGAACGGCCTGTCTTTCAAGTTGTCTCTTCTACCAAGGGGGTCGATCGCCTTGCCACCGTTCCTTGTCGTCACTGCCGACTTTGTATGACCACTGCCCTTTGCTTCAGTAAAGACATCGGCATCTGGTCCGCAGATACAAGTTCTGGCCATTGTTCATTTTTTCCATCACGATGTCTTAAAGTCTTCTGATGATGCCCTGTTCCTCTCAACCACGTGCACGTACCGAGACAGCAGGTTGTAAGCAATGGGCGCGTTCCGTTCCTCTCGGTGTCAGCTATGCAAGCAAGCTGTACTTGACTGTTATGTAAAACCATTTCAGGCGATTTCCTAATTTTTATTAACTATAGATAGATTTTACAGTAATGGGTACCATACGCTTTATTCCGTTTATATCGACTGGGAAACAAATAATAACAAAGACATATTATATATGAACATTGCGAGTGTTCGCTGAACAAAACTCACGCACGCACTAGTAGGGTTAGACTTTATCCTACTTTTTTAATGGAACAAAATGCAACCAATGTAATGTCAAAACAGTGAATTTATCCTGCCCTTTTAAATAGACAAAAATGCAACCGACCTAATGTCAAAACAGTGAAAAGAATGCTGATTTCACCGCCGAGACTTGGGTAAAATAAAAGCTTCTTATCTATATGGGCATTTCATAAACCAAAACAATATAATAATCAGTTCAATAAAAACAAACGCTTTTCTAAAGCTTGCGACGTTTAGTCTTCTTCAGAAAAAATTGACGTTTATAAAATAACAAATGACAAATGACGCAACGTCCGTTTAACTATACGCTAAACAGAACGTGACGTTAACGCGGGAATAAAAAACGTTGTCAAATAAATACAGAATCTTTCATGAATATAAATACAGCAGTATACAATAAATTACACATATAATATGGATCTGCACATGTGATACAAAAATTCTCATAATTAATAATAATAAAAATCCTTGATATGAGAAAAAACATACTACATGTATATGTATACCGGCTCAATAATGACCAAGTTATATATTGTACAAAACTTTTGCATTCATACCATTAGGAGATAATGTGTTAAGCTTATAAATGAATCCAGTATGATTCTTATAATAAGCGTTCCATATCATCGGAGACAATCTCTATGGGCATAAATTTAAAATCCTTAATACAATGATTAGTTTTATTGAAGTGTGTAGCGACAATGGTTGAAAATAACGGATCGGAAAAATTGTTGATATCAAACCTATGGCTATTCATGCGTTTAGACACTTGTTGCTTCGTTTGACCAACATATATTGCTCTTTACATTTATCACAAGTGACAAGATATATAACATTTTTCGTAGAACAATCAGTATTGTTATTTACATGATAATTCTTACCAGGAATATCAGTACTACTAAATATATTGCTTTCAATAATGGAGCTGCAATGTGTACATCTACTTCTATTACATTTGGATGAACATTTCACATTTTTGTTATTAGACCTTATATTAGAATTAACGAGAATGTCTTTTAGATTTTTGCGTCTTTTAAATGCAACCAAAGGTTTACTTTCATGAAGCTTTTGCACAGAACATTTACTTGAAAGTTCAAGTAAATCCCAATACTTTTTAATGATATTACTAATATTAGGTAAAGTTGGGTCATACTCAACAACAAAGGGTATAACACTGCCATCATTAGTTTTGTTGTTAGTGCACAGGGCCTCGTCTTGTGTTAGACATGATACCTTACTAAGTGCATTATCAATAACATTGATAGGATAATTTCTTTCTTTGAAGTATGTACGTAAATTCTGTAAATAATCGTTGAAAACATTATCGTCAGGTTTTTTTTATAAACCAAAACATTCATTTAGTGCCATTATATATTAAGTACTTGATAGAGAAAAATTGTACATTCAGCATTCTTAATTATTTCTTTTAAAGGCAAATTATGCCTCAGAAATAAATGCAATTTTACTTCTAACATGAATTTTATTGTATTTAAATAATGGCTTCAAACAATATCAGATGCTTGTTACCTGAAGAAAGTAGTAGTCAATGTGAACTAATTTGTCAAGAGCACAATGTAAACAAAATAGTGTTTTGAACTCCATACAAAATACTTATTCACTATAACTGTACTTATTGCCAAATAGCTACAGATGTAAAAGATGGTTCAGATGGTGAAACTTTATGGAAACTATAAAAGTACATAAAAATTAAAGAACCAACACTGTCAAGGTCATATAATTAGTTTCAAGCTCCAAATGGAGGAAAACCCTGACATATTAGTAGAACGAACCCCATTCTGAAAGCTAGCCATGTAGGTTACTCACTGGAAAGAATCCACGCAAAGGCCCTAGGTGGAAATCGAACCTATGTCAGTGATGGGCAAGTGGTTTGAAGTCAGAGCAAAATGCAAATTATTTAATTGTTATTAATTTAAACAAATCGTTGATAAAAACGTTTACCTGTATGTGCTTTGTGCTAAAAACTACATCTTTTAATTAAATCTAGTGATTGGAACAAAATGTCATCAGAGTCGTTATCGTCAGCCACTACTTATATGAATACCAATAGTTTGATGGTGTGTAACTTTGTTTAGAAAAGACCTGGTCACGTACATGTATTTCATTAAACATCTCAGGCGCTACGCTCTCTCGACGCCATATGAAATTCGTGACTAAACTGAAATACATCGTACTCGGTCGATATCCTAAACGTAATTTAATGCAGTGAGTTGTTTCCAATATATCGAGTAAAAGTTCACCTAAATGAAGTAAATTTATAGATATAAAGTAAACAGTATATATTATTACCCCTCACTTTTTCGTAATGTTAATTTCCCATAGGTCTCTAGGAGTTATTCTTACTGTTAATGCAAGTGTACCACGTGACTAATTTTGTACTGTTACATAGGTAACAGTATTTTTAAACAGTATACAATCTGGTCACATGGTCTATTTTCTAAATAAACTGATATAAAATGGCCGCCATTTTTCTCTCGATTCATTCTAATTTTCGACGACAGGGCATCGCCAAAGTAACTATTACTCTCATAAAATTTAGTTCTTTGCACCCTACAGTTCCTTTCGCGTATAAAATATATTTTTTGTTGAATAGTCAAAAGGAAACATCCGTTTTCAACGGAAGTTATTGTAATGTGACTTTGTTTGTTTCATTTTACGCCTTTTTCAACAGTATTTCAGTCATATAGGCGGGTAGTTTCCTAACCATCGTTCCTGAAGAGTTACACCAGTACTAGACTACCTTCCTCCGCGCTAAACTACCAAAGCTTCTCCCGGGGATCGAACCCACGCCAGAGAGGTAACTGGATTAGAAGTCATCGACTCTAACCCCTCGACCACGGAGGCGGTGACAAATTTTGTGTCAAACAGTGAAACGTTACAGATAAAGTTGGTGGACAGACATCTGTAGGATATCATTGTTATTTCTAAATGCACTTTGTCAAAAACCATGCGAATAATATTCTGGATGCAGAAGGATCAGATTTCACAGATCATAACCTTATAAATGGGTTAGTGTTTTGTTTTCTAAATAAAACACAGCTTATATTATGTTTTTGACTGGTAGATATCATCACTTGCCTAAAAATAAAACAGCTTCTCAAGTAGGCCTACAGTACACTTAACACTTGCAAGGTAAGGACAGTGTAGTTACTGCTTCTCTTGGTTTATTTTTTTTACAGTTAGATTTAGTTGACAAATTCAGATCATCAGATGTAGTATATGTTCGGGATAATAAAACAAATAACACATGGGTTTGTGGGTAACAGTAAAAATATCATCCCTCGTAAAAATACTGTTACCCTCGGCTACGCCTCGGGTAATAGTATTTTCCTCGGGATGATATTTTTACTGTTACCCACAAACCCATGTGTTATTTATATAAATTGTATACAGTGTAACTTCCGAATTCCGGAAAACTTCTGAAATCCGGAAACTTCTAAAAACCAAACAATTTTTTCGGTCCCGATTTTTTCCCTTCTATTTTCTATTAATATAATACTTCTGAATTCCGGAACTTCTAAATTCTGAATTCCGGACGATATTTTCGTAAAATTAGAGTCAAATCAATGCATTTTTACCTCCAAAAACCGGAAATATCCAAAGGTGTGAAATACATTGTAAATCGAGAATGTTTACCCTACAGGATGATTTAATCTCCCTATCGATTGTTTACTAATTGGCGGTGATCATGTTATTTGACACGCGTTAAAATCACAAACTGTGAAATGGTATGTATGAAGTGATGGGTTAATCAAAGTAATTTACGGCGGTCAGTTAATTTGAAGTGTTTATTAGCGGATTAAATGACAATAAATTGTACAATGTATGCATCAAACGTCTTTAGGGATTTTATTGCATTTGATGTAATAATTAATTAACTAGCATCGGACGATATGTAAGTTAATGCAATTAAAAACATTTCTACAAACTGATCGAAATTCAAAAGCATTTGTTTGCAGGTAAGATAAAAATATATTATTTTCATTCACATCTTTATCTTGATATAAAGATTATTATATATGATATTACAGTAATGTTCACATCTTCCTTGACATTTAGTGATATTAAGCGGCTTAGTCTTGTCCACATTATCATAAACCTCTGAAATCCGAACTTTTTGACAAGTCCCATGGGTGTTCGGTTTTCGGAAGTTACACTGTATCTATTAAAATGGTTATAGAAACCGAAACTATTATGATAGTCACATATATTTATCAAAATTCTAACGAAATAGTTTTCAATTTATTTCTAGTCAAATATATACATTCGTTATACATGTAGTGATGTACATCGTCAAAAAATACACTGTTTTCTGTTAAACATCTAAACGACTTTCCATCCGTGTTAAATCCGAGGTTATTATTAATTATAGCCAAGATGTGCTGTTTGGTAGGTATACAATTCCATTTATTGTACTGCAGTTCACATTGAGTTGAATTGAATATAACTGGTCAAAATGCATTAGCATGGGACTGAAAACAAATTACAGTTTAATCATCCTTTCATATTTAAAGCTTTTTTCGCCCGAATCACGTTTTTCACGTGGCTACTTGACTTCATTGCCACTATCAAATGCCAGTCTTTTGCTTAATATTGTACATCTAAGCTCAGCAGGAAGGGTCTGGAATACTGTTTTACATTCATCAATTATTTCACGGACAGTGATCTGTTTTCCGTTTACGTTTAGTTTATCTGAATGATAGCTGGTGCTGAGAGTTTCAGGTACATACGAGCCATAATATATTCTATGTGGCATTTTGGCGAGCATGTCCACAGCGTTGTCTACAAGGGATTTGTAATTCAGTGCCAAAGACGTCGTTAGAATACTCAAACATTGTCGTGTTGGCACTACGTGATAGTAACAACTATTATTATAATTTTTTTTAGCAGATACATAATCTTTTTCAAGCCAGTTTTTCATAACCGATTTGCAACTTTGGATGATAGAGTCAACTTGATATTCCTCCGCTATATGTACAATGCGTAGAACATTAGCTTCTGAAAAGAAATAAAGAAATGCAATTAGACAGGGCCGAGGTGTTACTGGAATTCATTCAATTTTGCCAAACCGTTTGCTAAAGATCGAAAACTACTTTCAAGTAAATCGATTTTGTTTTACTATGTGCACAAAACAAAACATATAATTATTATATTATTTCTTTTTCTTTTTTTCTTTTCTTTCTTTGTCTTTTTTTTGCTGCCTAGGTATTATATGATAAGGAAATAACTATGCGGTAAGTGAAACTGAAAAAAAATGCATAAGTATACAGAAAAGTAGGAATTAAGAAGAACATCCTTCTTACATTGTCAAGCATATTTTATTCATTTACATTCTAACTTATAACTTAGTTCTCACCATTATGTTAGACTGTGTAATGACGTTTTAATTAATTTGATAAGAAAAAAACTTAACACATACAGCATGACTTTGACCGTTAAAATGCAATTATACCAGACACAGTAAATGGGGATTCCCTATCCCGCAACAAATCCTACCGAAACAATAGATATAGGAATTATATATAATAGTTATATATAGCTTTTAATCATGGAAACAAAAGCATTTACACAAGTCGATAGACTTAACGCATACCTATTAATGTACTAATATATTTGCTATGTAAAACGCGTACGATAAAAAGAAAACATTTTAATGCTATGTAGACATATTGAAAAAAAATGCATATGTTACCATCAAATTGATTTGGCATCATTGATGCCAACACTATAAAGGGTTGAGAATTGAGTATCGCTCAAGCCGGTGCAAGGGGGCGTGAGGGATGTTGCACTTATTCATTATCCCTCATGTACAGACTCAATCAAACCGAGTCTGCAATTCTTATGTTATTTTGTTGTGATTAATGCTTCCGAGGGATCACTTTGTTTCCAGAATTTTGTACTTCACAACAGCAGGTGTCAAGTGCCGTGTGGCAGCCTTAAAAAGTTGCCCCGTACTTCACTTCAGTGTTGTTATATTTTCTGGTCCTTCGGGATCATTGATGCCAACACTATAAAGTGTTGAGAATTGAGTACCGCTCAAGCCGGTGCTAGGGGGCGTGAGGGATGTTGCACTTATTCATTATCTCTAATGTACAGACTCAATCAAACCGAGTCTGCAATTCTTATGTTATTTTGTTGTGATTAATGTTCCGAGGGCTCACTTTGTTTCCAGAATTTTGTACTTCACAACAGCAGGTGTCAAGTGCCGTGTGGCAGCCGTAAAAAGTTGCCCCGTACTTCACTTCAGTGTTGTTATATTTTCTGGTCCTTCGGGATCATTGATGCCAACACTATAAAGTGTTGAGAATTGCGTACCGCTCAAGCCGGTGCTAGGGGGCGTGAGGGATGTTGCACTTATTCATTATCCCTCATGTACAGACTCAATCAAACCGAGTCTGCAATTCTTATGTTATTTTGTTGTGATTAATGCTTCCGAGGGATCACTTTGTTTTCAGAATTTTGATATTAAGAAAATACTATGCTAGTGTCTGATATAACATATTTTATCAGACAAATGATACATCCACGGCCTTGACACTAATTTTGGTATTCTAATTATTATGTTTTCAATTTAATATATGTTTCTTTCTTTAAATTTCAAATGAAACAAAAACCTGTTAAAAAAACCTTTCGAGTTCATGACGGGTGCAATACAGGCCATGGTCATATCTATAAGAAAATGTTTTTTAAGTCAATTGTAAGGGAGACTTTATATATAAAACATCTATTTGGTTCAAAGTGTATCGGTTTAAGATTTTTAAAACTAGTGAGAGGTACGAATATTGTATTTTCAATGTGTATTGATGGGGTGTCTGATAAAGCTGTGATCATGGATGACTGATAAAGTTAAATATATTAGACATACACCTTATCAGCAGAAATCAATGTCATGACATGATAAAGGTACTTGTGATGCTTTTGTGTTGATTACATTATCCCATTCAGTTTCGAATCTCACGATTCATTGATTAGAGACAAAATACCATAAGTAAACAGCCTCCTCTTTCCTGATAAAGGAAATGACTTTGTTAAGCTGATGAAAGGCATAGATAAACTTTAACAACGGTAATATGTACACGCAATTAAGGATAAACATAACATTAAATATTTATGGCATTAATAAAATATGATTCTTTACCTGAAACTGGCTTTAATGTCCCAGGATGAATACACATCAAAAATTCATGAAAGTCTGTATAGCTCTTCTCTTTCAACAAGACTGCTGATTGCTGCTTTTCTTTTAAATCATTCTTAAATATGGCCTCAAAAACCGGTGAAGACAGTATTAGTAGGTTTTGTGACACATACAGCTCTTGTTGATCATCGAAAACAAAACGTACTTCATCCGTACACTTTCCAGGTGCAGTAAATGGCTCCGGACACTTTGGACTTTCTCCCTCATTCTCATTTTCTGTGTGTGTACTCATTTCAAATATCTTTTGTTATCAAATACTTGAATAAATAAATTGATACAAATGTTTTTTATTCTTCTTCAATCAGCCATTAACGAATACAACAAGTTTAGAGAAATCAATCCTAGCAGTAGAAATTTATAAAACAATAAATATGGCCACAATGAATTTTATCTACATTTGTACGCGTTTAACTAAATAAAGATATGTCAATGCAGATGGGTTATGTATAGTAATTAAATATAAGCCGATAAAATCACATAGATATGGTTATCTAAAGCGATTACTATTTTGAAGAGCGAATCACATGAGCGGACTTTATCATAAAAGGAAGATAAAGGAGCAATAAAATTTCATAAAAAAAGTATTTAATTGGTTGGTGATATTGTAGCTATTGTGTTTATTCTTATTATTGTCCGAAAATGATTTGCAGAAAAGAAAAATCAATTGATAAAAATGATTACAAACGGAAAAAACTGCACTATTCGTAGTGTTCAATGTAGAGAAAATAATATTTTCCTATTATACTTTGTATCGTTGTTATTTTGTTGTTTAAATAATGTCGTTTTTTCAGCGGAGCATAAGCATAACATTTTTTGTTGACTGGTTTTAATGGTTTGAGGCTTTAATGATATTCATTAACTTTAGATTGATACCAATAAAATTTAATCACCAGCAATCATTCTCAACCAATAATATCTCAATTAATCCGTGGAAAAAGTTATATATACTGTGAGTTTAATTAATTGCAAAGGCATATGAAAGTTTGTTGTTTTGTATTAAATTCATGGTTGACTATTTTTGCAAAAAAACAAAAATGCAAATAATGTTGTGCTGAATAATCTTACAGCAGACTTATCAAATTTCTCTGGATATCAAATTTGTGCATTGACCTATTCACGAAAACCATGCAATTTTGTGCCCCAAAAATTAAGAATGATTTTGCAGTTGTTGGATGTTTGAACGATATACTTAATAATTAGGGATGGCAACGAATACCAAAATTAATACTCGACTACTCGGTCTTTTTTCCGATCGAGTACTCGGTTACTCGGATAATTTCCAATGATCTTCAAAGTTGTATTACACAATATCAAATGTGCTAGTGGCATTGATTTGGCATAATATGTGCTTAACCTTGTGATTAATGCAATAAAATACACATATGTAAAAAAAATCTAAAAGAAAAAAAATCTGGTTATATCGTCATGGCATACCCATAAATTTCGTAGTCGGAATTTGCATACCTTAACAATAGACTGATTTCTTTCCTTCTAGCTTTTTAATGTATGGATATGTTATTTAATAAAAAAAAGGTTAAACACATTTTAAGTCATTCAAATCAATGCCACTTGCACCTTTGCACAATATCAGCATCGTCTGCACGCTACTTTCGTTTTCTATTTAAATTCACAGAAATTCAATTCGGACGGTAATGGATTTAACTTAGAATAACCAATAAACAAGCCATCTGATCATTATGTTTAGAAACCACATATGCTGTTATAAATCTCAAGGCCGCCATTTTGTGTTAACATTGCTTTTAATTGCTCTGTAAAAACAAGTAATTTTAAAGGGGTGGGCTACACACTTTAAGAAATAGCAAAGAAAAAAAATCTACAGTAATTATTGATATTTTGTATGTATATGGAGTTGTTACTATAATACGAATCAAGTTTTAGTTTCCTTAATGTCTTTATTTGATGTTTGATCTCGTAATTATTATTGTGATTAACATGACCCTTGATTGGAAAAAAAAGTTATTCTATTCTATTCTAGGGAGTTGCTAAAGCAATGGAAGTGTTTCCATGGTTTCTGTAGCCTGTATATTTGCAGGTATTTTTTACCAGAGGGACATACGAAATGCTTTGTTCTTGGTCTCGTATCACAGTAAATTTGGGCGTCAACGGAATGAATCTGCCTGACTGTTGTACAAGGGATAATTTCTAATAGATTTGCAATGTAATGACATATATGTTCTCAATAGGTTGCGTACTTTGGGATCAAAATTGTCAGACATATTGCTTGTTCATAAGACATTGACGGCAGGAACTTGAAATTTACAAATGTAATAGATCCAGCTAGCTTACAGAACGTCGGTGGTTCTACTCAGATGCCCGTTTGTGCCTGACATAATGCACGGTGGTCTTCATACGTCAGTCAAGCTAGGATATCGCCATGTTACCCTTTCTGTGTCGGTGCCCAAAAATAATAAATGCATGTAAATAATAAACAAATAATGTTAGTGCATGACACACTCAGTTTTACTTTTTAGCTTCCCAGCTCTATATAATGATTTAACAAAATATATCTGTTACTAGTAAATATCATTGTACAACCTTTCTGTAGTTTTAATATTGAGTAAAAAGAATAAGAATAAAGTTTTCAATCAACAACTGAACATATTGATTTAAGATAGGTTTAACTATTTCAATTGATAATTATTATTATTCTTACATGGAATTAAAGCAGTAATCATTGCGTATATGTAAGTGTTAGTTAAGTGCAATTTAAACAATTGAGAACCGGTTTATTTCAACAATAGAAATCTTAACAGACAAAGCAATAAATTCGAATCAAAATAAAAGGTAATTAACACATTGCTTTCGTTGTCGAGTACAGACCACGTACATGCCACATGTCAAGCCCTTTTAAGAGTTAATCAATATAAAGCACAGAGTGGTGATAAGTAATCTTCATGCACTTCCCACGGAGTATAAGATAAAGATATACTGCCGAAAGTAGGCACATTGTAAAGCACATTGTACAGTGGGTCAATGAACACTTAAATGACAATATGAAAAGGAGATAGCCCCGATAAGGACTGTTGGTGCCAATCGAACGGCCTGTCTTTCAAGTCGTCTCTTCTGTCAAGGGGGTCACGCGCATTGGCACCGTTCCTCGTCGTCCTTTTTCGACTTTGTATGACCACTACCCTTTGCTTCAGTAAAGACATCGGCATCTGGTCCGCAGATACAAGTTCTGGCCATTTTTTTATTTTTTCCATCACGAGTTCTTCAAATCTTCTGATGATGCCCTGTTCCTCTCAACTACGTGCACGTACCGAGATAGCATGTTGTAAACAACGGGCCTGTTCCGTTCCTCTCGGCCCCAGCTGACTTGACTGTTATTTAAAACCATTTTAGGAGATTTCTTAATTTTTATTAACCATGGGTAGCTTTTACAGTAATGGGTACCATGCGCTTTATCCCGTTTATATTGATTAGGATACAAATTATTACAAAAACATATTTTAAATGACCAATGCGAGTGTTCCATAGAAGAAATATCACGTATTATGATGATATTAATTTACCATTTCTTTTCAATATGAACAGTTGACCATGCACTTTTAAACCAAATAGAACCTTTGGTCAAACGGGAATTTGACAGCAAGAAAAGACAAATTCAATTCACAACATATGTATGATTTTTTTATTATTCCGAAGTGGTTACTCCCAAGGAAAATAGTTTGTCATGTTCCCTGCCTACATTTACTACGGAAAATATAAGGGGAAGTAACACCAGACTAGAAAATAGTTATTTGATATCTTAAGATCAATCATGCAGTGACGAAAATTATATCAATCGGACAATCGAACATAAAAACGATATGTAAAACAAAGAAAACAGAAAGCATAACTCATATTTTACTTTACCTTTTGCTTAACCCGTCGGTTCAAAGATCAGTAGGAAAGTATACAATTCCATTTTCTCGGCCCATTCCGTAAAACTTCGGAAATAACCTCAAACAAAATAGTTTGACAACAAAAAAAAGACGACAAAAACGGAAACGATACATTGGTTTAATCTACGCACAGAAGCTAAGCATGTAAACAAATAGTCATTAAATGCTAATTAAATCAAGAAATATAAACAGTACATTATTTGTATACTTCTTAAAAATGGTTGTAGAAACCAAAATACAAAATGTTGACCGGTTGACATTAGTTCGGATTAGTTTATAATTGTACATCAGTGGTAATATTTAAATTAATTATGATAGTCGGAGATATTTATTATAAATTTACCGAAATAGTCTTTATTTTATTTTCGATGTCAAAAATATACATTCGTTATACATTGTCTAGCTTACGGAACGTCGGTGGTTCTACTCAGGTTCCCGTTTGTGCCTGAAATAATGCACGGAAGGGCACCTGAGGTCTTCCTCCACCAGTAAAGCTGGAACGTCGCGATATGACCTATACTGTGTCGATGTGACGTAAAACCCAAAACAAACAAACAAAAAGTTATACATTGTCAAAAATTACACTGTCATCTAAACCACGTGATAGAACTACTTTCAATCCGTGTTAAATCCAAGGTTATTATTAATTATAGCCGAGGTGTGCTGATTGGTAGGTAGACAGTTTATTTTATCGTATTTCAGTACATATTAAGTAGAAGTGAATAAAACTGGTCAAAGTGCATGTATATGTATTTCTGGTGTAATACAGTACGGGCATGGGACAGAAATCAAATTACAGTTTAATCATTCATTTTTCAATTCTTTAATATGCAAAATCTACTGAAAGCATTCGACAAGATAATCAGTACCACAGTGAAAGAAATTAATACAAATATTTCAAAGATAATGATTTAAATTTATTAAAACATTTTTGCCTTAAAACTTTGTAAACGTAATTAAACCGGTATAATTAATTGGTATTTGATTAGAATGTAAGCTGCACTCTGTAAATAGCATCGTGTCATGTAAAGTTTTTTTTCTTGCCCGAAACACTTATTTAACGAGCCTACTTGACATTGTCTTCATACAGTGCCAGTCGTTTGCTTAATACTGTACATCTAAGCTCAGCAGGAAGGGTCTGGAATACTGTTTTACATTCATTAATTGTTTCACGGACAGTGATATTTTTTCCGTTTATTTCTAGAGTATTTAAATGATGGGGAGAGTGTCAGGGTCATACGAACCATAGTATATTCTATGTGGCAGTTTGGCTAAAATGCTCACGGCATCGTTTACAAGTGATTTGTAATTCAGTGTCAAAGACGTCGAAAGAATACTTAAACATTGTCGTGTTGGTTTTATGTGATATATATAAATGCCAGTTTTGCTTTTAGCAGATACATATTCTTTCTCGAGCCAGTTTTTCATAATCGATTTGCAACTTTGCATGATAGAGTCAACTTGATATTCTTCCGCTACAGGTACAATGCGCAGAACATTGGACAGGAATTGCAATAGGACAGGGCCTAGAGAAGTCCATGAAATTATATGATTTTGCTATACCGTTTGTTAAAGATTGAAACTATTTAAAACTAACATATTTTCTTTTTCCATACACTGTATATTAACTATTTATTTTCAATAAACAAAACAAAACAAAACTACGGTTACACAAAAATGACATGTGTGTGTTTTATATTTATCTCGTGGCCACGAGATACTATGTCGTGGCCACGAGTTACTAAGTCGTTGCCACAATATAGCTAAGTCGTGGCCACGAGATACTATGTCGTGGCCACGAGTTACTAAGTCGTGGCTACGCGATAACTAAGTCGTGACCACGAGATAATATGTCGTGGCCACGAGATACTAAGTCGTTGCCACGAGATAGCTTAGTCGTGGCCACGAGATAAATAACCAATCAGATTACATCATTGAATTACCCTAATTAACTAGACATGTGCTATAGTACAAGGGTTCCCCTACGTCACCAGCCTGTAAAAGTGCCATTTATACAACTTATTGTCTGGTCACTTATTTTACATTTAGCGTCACTGTGACCCTGATTTCTGACCCAATGACCTCGAAATTATTAGATGTTATCTACTGATCAGGTGCATTGATCTTTCTGGGTTATATAAACCATGGATTATCCCTTCTAAATGATTCATCAGACAAGGATTTTACCTTATAGGCTATCTACTGTCCATGGGCAATGGACCATAACCAGGTCTTATTCCTTCTCATGTTATCGTATAAACAAGGTTAACAGGCCGTAGTTCATACAAACTGACCAATTCGATCACAAAATTGTCGCATCAAAGGGCTATAGTCAAAATTAATATCTGATTGGCCTTGAAAAGGTGACTTTCTAATATGCTCCTAAAGACAAGTTCAAAGTGAATATCTTCAGTATTTTCAAAGATTAATGGTACATGTAAAAGTAAGTTGTTAAGTTTAAAAAAATCATAATATATATATAGTGTATTCTATTGGTTAATTATCGCGTGGCCACGACTTAGTTATCTCGTTCCCACGACTTAATATTTCGTGGCCACGACATAGTATCTCGTGGCCACGACTACGCTATCTCATGGCCACGACTTAGTAACTCATGGCCACGACTTAGTATCTCGTGACTACTAGATAAATAAAAACACACACATGTCACATTTGTGCCAAAGTACAAAACAGATACCAAAGATATCATTTTCACCTTTTTTGGCTACTTAGGTATTACATATTACATAATTAAGAAATTACTTTGCGCTAAGTTAAACTTGAACAAAATGCACAAGTGTAGATAAAATGGTAGGAACTTTCTAAAACAAATATTCTTTACCTGTAACTGGCTTTAATGTCCTAGGATAAATACACATAAATAAATCATGATAGTCCGAACAGTCCTTTCCTGTCAAGACGACTGCTGATTGCTGTTTTCTTTGAAATCTTTCTTAAACATGGCCTCAAAAACTGGTGAAGATAGTATAAGAAAGTTTTGTGAAACATACAGTTCTTGTTGATCATCAAATACTAAACGTACTTCATCCAAACACTTCCCATGCGTTGTAAACGGGTCTGGACATTCTCCTACCTTAAAGGAACTCCAATGAGGTTTATAAGGCTAAAAACATAAAATTTAAATTTTTCACATAGATCAACACGAGCACATAAAACAGAAATATAACTAAAATATAACTAAGAAATATACAACAAATACATAGAAAATCGAATGTTTGTGCTTCTCTCAGTCCGATTTGAGTAAAAAGGTTTGATTTAAACGCTTTTCAATTTTGGGTAATTTTTCACTATAATACTTATAATAATAATTCTGGAAAAACGGAGCGAGCTAATGATCTGAAATTTTGCACATAAGTTATTAGTAGACATCTACATCAAATGGAGTAATAATCTCAAAAAAACATTCCAGTTTCGTCATGTCACAAAACCTCAGTGGAGTCCCTTTAACATCTTTTTTGTGAGTACTCGTTTTACAACTATTATAAGCATGGAATCCTTATATAATTAATATAAAACCGGTTTGCTTTTCATAAAACAGTCACTTAACGATTACGAAACGATTTAAACTGACTGGATATGTAAATCAATCCCAGCAAAAAAAAAAAAATACGAAGTGAATCAATACACCACGAAATCAATTTTTATCTACACTTTGACACGTTAAACTTACGTTTTGAATGTCAATACACATTTTTTTATTGTAAAACTTTCAAATGCTCACTACTATCATTTGATCATTTCTTTATTGTTATCAGATCACTCACGTTGACACTGTTATTTAAAGCAATGAGAAATTGCTTGTTCGAAGTGCAATAAACATAGACATACCACTAGAATAAGTAAGATTTCATTGCTTTTATTTTGAACGTTATAAGCAGAGCACTTCATTAAGTAAGGTTTCGGTCATTTTCTTCCACTCTCTTTTTATTGTGAATTTTTAGAATTTCTTTATAAATTTTATGTAATCCGAATATCCTTATTTTGTTAAGGTTTTTAAATTATTATGTCCCCCCCGCTGCTCTACAAATAAGGCCTTTTTCTTGCCTAAATGTTGAATTAAAGTATACAGTCAACACAGTGGTGTGTGTACGTTATAAATAAATTATCCATGGAAAAGTTATATATACTGTGAATTCACTTAATTTCATGGGCATGAAATTTCGTTACTTGTCAAAAAGACAAATTTTGTAAAACGTTTCTAGTTTATTTTGACAATTTTTAATAAATGACAACTTTACAATAACAAAAGAAAAAGCAAAGAATGTGTAGACATATACTACTAATGTATATTATTTGCTACTGTATAATCCCGTCAAGTGTATTTCGTTTTGTCCATTGTTTCTCGTTTCGAGCAGATCAAGCTCTGTCTAACAAGCTCCTAAACGCCTTTCTTGAGGCAATGACACAAAAGTGTGACATTAAAGGTTCTATTAAACAAATACATTTTTAATGTTTCGAAAGTTTGAAATTAATATAATTTGAAAATTGCGTGGGCATGTACGGTGGTATGCAATTACACATACTTCACGCACTGCCATTCATATAATGACTTTTTTCAAACTTTAAGATAGTTTAGCATGAAATTAGCGTTGTGTTTGTGGATTTTCAGTTCTTTCTATTGTCTTCTAGTCGATCGGTTCCAGTATTCCTGCTTCAATACCTTAAACTCACGCTTAGGATATATTGCCTCCTGCATTTTAGGGTTTTCTCTAGGTTCATGTCTGTTGCAAAGAAGAGAATTTAAAAATATTGGTGGGAATTATTTCCTTAACCTTTGCTCGAAAGAGAAACTTGATTGAAACATTTGGGTGAAAAAAGTGGTGGGGGTGGTCACCGTCGTATTGTTTGAGTTACCTCCTTGAATGTGAGTTTATATTTAATTTTTTAGGACACTTTCAGGAGTAGATATTTCGAAATCAAGCGTACTGAGACTTTAATTTAATTCAAATAAATGTTTGTTACTTTATTTTTAGTCATTATGTAAAGTTTTAAACTATTATATCATAAATATATATTGCTATGCTTCCATTTTTTTAATACAGTGCATTTTTGTTAAAAAGGAGCATAGCAAAATTCTATAATATTGCATTAGGGACAAGAGAATAAAATGTCTAATTAAGAAATTCAAAAATTTTGACCATTACAGGGAATAAAGAACCAAAAAAAATTTAAAATCAAATGAGAATGTTCCTGTTACTGTTTATAGTTATCTTCCCTTAAAATTGGACAAGAGCAAAACCTCACATTCAATGTCAGGTCATTAAAAAGAAGAACGCTTACTCTCATCTTTTCATTAAAATGTTTAAATTGTGATTGTTTTTAGTCATGTAAAGTTTCAGGATTTTGCACCACTACTGTCATTTTCCTCGATCTTTGTTGAATTAAAATACAAAAAATATTGTTAAGGGCCTAGGCCTAATACATTTTATCTTGCATATTGTTCCGGTCGTATGAGATCATTGATTTAACACAGTATTGTTGAAATACTGAATACTGATTTATTCGGTGCTTTGAACCGTGAGAAATGTTTACTTTTTCATAATCTTTCATGAACATAAATCAAACTGAGTCTGTAATTTTCATATAATACGAGTACTGTTGTTTTCATTAAATCCTAGGACCACTCTTTCTTCAGATTTTCAAAACCTCTGATCCCGTTTCAAAATTTTATCTTTTTTAGTTTTTTCCTTCTTTATTATGGAAACGAAATTTCAACATATTTTTATTCTGCTTCGGAAATATCGCTCCTACGTCGTAGAGAGATAATGTTGCCGATACATAAATACGCTATTCCGACATATATTTTCGAAAACATAAACATATTTACCTCGGCAAAGTATCTTTCTTAACGATAATTATTGCTTACTGTTATATTGATATTATGCCGGTTCAAGAATTAAATAACACCTCACAAAGTACAATATATTTGGAAAAAACTTAGGGTATAAGGAGAGAATGTTAAGCTTATCGTAACATAGTGATGTTTATAATCGGCATCAATCCACAATCTGATGATGATGATGATCATCATCATCACTTTTCAACTGCTATGTGGCTTGTTTAAAGTAAGATTTAAAAAAAATTGTCTGAAAAGATTTTTTTAAAAAGCTTTATTATACAAGAAAAATAATAAAAAGAATCTTTCCATCTATAAGAAATAACAACACAAAATAAAAGATAAAGAGCACACACTTGATGGATAGCACTTTAATCACAGATGTGCTTCATTGAGAATTAAGTCAAATTTAAAAAAAAAAACATCCTTAACTATAGTTACATTTTAAACTAAGTTTTCTCTTGTTTGACTGACATTAAGAAAGGACTGACTCATATTTTTGATGGCTTGATCCACGTCTTAGATTGTCTGTACATCGGAGAGAAAGGGGTGGGAATTAGGAGTGGGGGCAATCGCAGTCTCTGTGTTAGTCTCTTGAGTTGTCCCTGGACCTTTAACTGTCGCTTGAGCTACGGGAGCGGGAGCGGGAACGGGAGCGGGAACGTTCGTGGGAGCGGGAACGGTTGCGGGGGTCGCCATGGTAGCGGTATTCATCGGAGTCATAGTGGTCAAAAACGCGGGAGCGATATCGGGAGTTGTATCGGGAAAATGTCCTACGGGAACGGATGCTGATGTCATTATCGGGGTAAAGAGCCAATCTCCGAGCAAGGACGTCATACTTCAAATCGGGTTGTAGACTTTTGAAGATCTCTGTACATTCATTGATAATTTCTTCGACAGAAGTTGGCTTCCCTTTGTCAGAAATTCGACTTTTTAACTCATGAACTGCGATGGTATTTGGGGAATATGAGCCAAAATATATCCTATGCCCGAATTGAGATACCACTCGAACGCAATGTTTAATCAGCTCACTGTAGTTAAACATTGTGATTGTTTTAAGGATATATAAACAGTTTCGAGCCGGTATCACGAAATCATCAATAGACTGTCCCCTACGTGCTGTCTCAAGTTCATCGTTGAGCCACTTTTTCAGGCATTTTTTACATTGGTATAAGATACGTGCGACCTGATATTCTTCAGCAATAGGCATTATATCCAGAACATTGTCACCTGTAATAATTGAAATACATGAAGATGAAATTATAAATATAAAACGAAATCAAATCATTCTCAAAAAAGACATTGACAAAAATATTTTTTGTTACATTTCATTATATTTAAGTTCATAATCCCCTTACTGATAATGACTTAAACTTACTGTTAACAGTTGTAGTCGTTCCAGGGTGAATGCACATTAGAAACTCTAAAATGTCGTCATATTTCTTTTCTTTCATGTCAACATTCCTTGTTTGATTTTCCTTGAAATCCCCACGGAACATCGCTTCAAACACCGGCGACGCCAAAATTAAGAAATGTTGTGACACAAAGAGTACTTGTCCATCGTCAAATTTTAATGTGACTTCATCTTTACATTTCCCACTTTCTGTGAAAGGTTTAGATATTGGTTTAGTGTCAACATCCTCGGGAACTTTGGCAGGCGACAGCGGACTAGTCATATTCTTTATGCTTAAAATCTAATTTTTACAAGGTACACAGAAACAACAATGTAAATATTCACAAAAGATACACCATCAACTTTAAGTTACTAAATGTATAACCGACTTTAAAACAGGTTAATTAACAATACGTGTGTCCTGAATCATAATTGTTGTTTATCAATATATTCCGTTTATATTTCGTAATATCTTGATCAGTTTTATCAAATTAAACTATCCCAACATAATTTACAACGTTCAATGTTTTACAAATTATATTTACTTTAGTTGTAAAGCTGTCAATATAAACTCTTGTGAATAAATGCACGCTTTATAGCAAAATCAATATTGAACAAAATATTTTAAAGAAACATTAAACTTGACAGGAAGTAATAGCCTTAATTTTCTTTGAACATGGAAATAAAAAGTGAAATCTTATCCTAAAGAAACGTTAGGATATATTTTCAAATAATCTTTTACGCGCCTTTTCATGCTTAACTACTTCAGCTTCAGTGGTTATTCTATATATGTTAAATCATAACCGTGTCACTATAGGTCCAAGCACTAGTTGTATTTCGATCTTTCGATAATTGTCGTACCCAATGAAATTACCCCCAATGTGTCAGTCTTTATTAAAGTGACATTATGCTCTTAGTTTCATAGTCA